CTAATGGCTCCAATGGCTCGCTTCGAGTCTTTCACTAGGGTGCAGGGCGCATCAGACCTTTGTTTTCCCACCATCCCACTTTTGGAGCCAAGCACTTCCTCCATCTTGCTCCCCAAGGTGGTGTTCTGCGGCAAGAGACGGCCAACTCCTCCACTCCCACGTGACCAGGTATCCACCTGTACACGACCCAGGCAGCCGCGGCAATCAACAACGTGGCACTTCTCTCCATGTCCACCTCCTCCCTCGCTGCCCAGCCCGGGGCCGTCCCTGCAAAGGCAGCAGAGGAAATTGGAAAAGCCATGGTGGTAACAATGACTCTCTCCTCTGCCGCTGCAGTGGTGACAGCGCGTATAAAGGCCGGGGTGACCATGATTCAGTGCAACATGTGGCTGCACGTGTTGCAGAACCCAGAGCAGATCCGGAAGAGTCTCCTGGAGGGCTCCATCAGCCCCGACGGCCTCTTTGGGCCGCACCTCCAAGAGGCTGTCACTCACATGCAGCAAACATCTGATGAGGCGGTCTCACCACAAGTGAGACAACTTGCTTCATGGGGATGGTTGCGCCTAAGTCTGACTGGCGCACCCACAGAGAACAGCGCCACAGGCCGAGGTGCCCAGCAGCTGCTGCCACTGGGACTGTACGCTCCACCATCGAGCACTACACCTCCTTTTCCCCCTTCTCTGACTGTGACCTTCAGACAGGCTGGGACACACTGAACACAATTCGTCCTCTCTATGTTGTCACATCTAACACATTCTCCAGACCCATAATGGTGGACTCAGCGGCACTGCCATTGTCCCTCTGTGGTCTCTCCACCTCCCACCCATTGGTGTGTGTGCGTGGCGGTTTTTCTCCCGTACGTGATGCGGATGGCGAAGCTCTGCTTGGGGTGCTCACCTCTCCGTGGCCCTTTTGCCACTGTCCTCACATGGGTTGTAAGGAGCCAACACTCGGCTCTCCTCACGGGTGGAGAGGGCACATCAGTGGCGGGTGACAATGTCCACAGATGCCCCACAAATGAGCACTACCCTGCGTGGCGACAGCAACTGTCCATGAACAGCTGGATGGACAAGCTGATACGAACTGGGTACACTAATTCTCCAGGCATCTCCCTGCTGTCAGTGGAGTGCTGGAGATGATAATCTCGCTGGCAAACTCCGCCACACTGATGGTGGCGTTGCAAGAGCTACTGACAAAAAAAGCAATCTCCGTGGTCCCACCCGGTCAGGAGTATGAAGACTTCTACTTGCACTGCTTCCTGGTTCCCAAGAAATCGGTCAAAATGAGGCCCATCCTCAACCTATCCCTCTTGAACAAATACAGAGCTTCACATGCTCACCATAAAGCAGCTACTGGAATATGTACATCCAGACGACTGGTTCACATCCACCGATTCTCTTTCCAAGGTGCGCGGTTCCAATATAACCGGTTGTTCTTTGGTTATTCTCTGGCCCCCTGCACATTCTCCAAGTGCATGGAGATGGCACTACAACCATTGTGCAGGCAGAGAATCAGAGACCTTTTTTATCTTGACGATTTGATTCTGATGGCACCCTCCAGACAGCAGGCTGCATCTCACTGCCAACACCTGACCCAGCTGGGTTTTGCAGTGAACTGGAAAAAGAGTTTGTTGCTGCTGTGTCAGACAATCATTTATGTAGCTGGACAAGAGGCATGTGTTGACAGTCAGTCAGACCTGATGTACAGAAAAACCCCCAGTGCCATGATAACGGGGCTTCCCCTCGGCAGAGTCACATCACATATAGAGTTACGTCACATATAGTGGTGTTCACAGACGGATCTTTGCTCGGATGGGGAGGCATGTGCCTGTCACATGTTGTGGGGGGGGAAGTGGCATCAGACCCCATCTCTCCACATCAACTGTCTGGCCACAGTGCTGAAACATTTTACACTAAGACGGTGTTCGGTCTGCCCAGATGCTGGAAATTACTCTGGACATATGAGAACCTGCGCTCTATCAGAGCTGTGCACGTTCCAGGCGAGCAGAGTGGAAACTGAACCCGTACCTCATTCAAGTGCTGTGGGACAGGTTTGTGCAAGCAGTGGTGGACCTGTTTGCAGCTCGCGAGAATGTGCAGTGCGCTCTCTGGTTCTTAATGAGCACCCAAGACGAGCTTCCACTAGGGATGGACGCCTTCGCTCATCGCCCCTGGCCCGCAGGTCTCCTTTACACTTTCCCTCCTCTCCCACTGATCCCATGCCTCCTCTCACGCATACAGGATGAATGGCTGCGTGTCAAGCTGTGGCAGCTCCTGTGGCACGGGTATTTGCTCTCCCAGCTGGACAGTGCGAATTATCAGTATCCCATGATACGCCTGTGTGCTTGGCCCCTGAACAGGAGTGACTGAAGAGCTTAGGCTTGCCTCCAGTGGTCGTGCATACAGTTCAGACTGCAAGAGCCCCGTCAACAACGGTGTCTTACGTGGTGAAATGATCTGCTTTTCAGCGGTGGTGCATAGAGAGAGGCACAGCCACCACGTCATGCCCATTGGCACAAGTATTGATTTTCATATGGACCCTAGTAGACCATCATACAGGTATAAATGTTAGCAGGGAGAAATCACCCGCCTGGCATCAGAGTTCACTCCACAAGTATTTCATCCTCCACAGCACTCTTCAGGGGGATGGCTGTGGAGGACATTTGCACAGCAGCCTCCTGGTCTTCCCCATGTTTTTTTTACTCGGTTCTATCTTCAGGACACATCCAAATTTTCACTGGCTCACTCAGTTCTCAGTGTTCTGTGTGATCAAAAGGCTCGCCCCAACGCCGAGCGTGAGTGCACACCTGAGACCGGGCGCTGATATTGCAGCTGTGTTACTCATTCAGTCGGCTGGCTGTCAACTAACATAACTCTCGCTTGACTGTTCTGTCAATGCAAAGCTATTTATGTGTGTCCTTACCGCACGCACACCCTCTCTCTGTGTGCCCTCCATGGTACCCCTGTTCCCCACTGTCAGTCCTACCTGCCTGAATGTGGCTGGCTACCGAC